GATTCCCGCCTGCCCCGGAGCCGACCACATGGCGCGGCAGACCTCTCCTGACCCGCCCGCTGCTCCCCTCAGCAGTGTACTTCGTCCATCTGCCTTGTTCTGCTCCCCGCTTTGTCTCTTGTGAATCCTTTCGCCCTCCGCATTTCTGGCCTGTACCCCAGTTCTGTACGGATAAATAAATCTTTAAAAAAATTTTTTTTTGGCTAATTCAGTGTAAGCAAGAAACTGTGGATGTATTACATTGACAATCCTTTTCTTCCTACGTTAGGAATACGTTGTTTTTTCAAAGCCAAGAATCATTTAGCATATCTCTAAAAATAAATAATTGTCTGCAGTCCCAAAGAGCATCATATTACCAATGAGAAACACCTACCAACATGATTATGTGTTCAATAAGACTGTCTGAACCCCCTAGAGACAGCCTGCAGTATTTCCATAGTTAGTAAAGGAAGTGAATAAGACTATATCACACATTGCTAATGTTCTGTTACCAATAAAAGTATTTCTTATTCTGGTTCACTTTGATTCTGGTTGACATCACCCTTTGATTTTTTTCCCCTCTTTCTAATTAGAGCTTGTTAGAATTAAAGCTTTCTGTCATACAGCATTTGGCAACACAATAAAGACATTCTAAACTGCAACATTTAAACATTTATCATTTTTGACCAATTCTTCAGGTAAGGTCAAACTTTAAGGACACATTTTATATTTTGTAGTTTTAAATTAAACTGAAATTCCAAATATTAGCATGTTGAAGCTTAAAATGTGAGAGGGGTATCGTTAAAACCAAGTGAGACCATGGGCACAAAGATGAAGGTGCTGGCCTGTTTAAAAACATCTTGAAGTAAGATGCTAGGAGCTCGTGTGATGATGCTTTTGTTGGAAGTTCGGACCAACAATACGATGTTCACAAAAATAATCACCAGTTAAAAGGATTCTAAACATAGTAGATATAAGATAGTGGAGAAATAATGGAAGTCACATAACAATTTGAAAATTTATCCTTCCTTGTTCAATATAATTAAAAAGCAAAAATGGAGCTCCCACTGCCCATCTTCCTTGAGCTCTCACCTTGCCCTTTTTATACCTTCCCAACAAGCTATTTTTTTTTTTAAGATTTACTATTTTATGCATACAGAACTGGGGTACAGGCCAGAGGTGCAGGGGCGGTGAGAGGATTCACCAGACACAGAGTGGGGAGAGAACTGGGGTACAGGCCAGAGGTGCAGGGGCGGTGAGAGGATTCACCAGACACAAAGTGGGGAGCAGTGCCTATGATTGTGTTTTATCAATAAAATATACTGCTGAGGGAAGCAGCCAGCGTGTCAGGAGAGGTCTGCCACGCCATGTGGGTCACATCTGGGGCGGGGATCGAACTTGTGCTGAAGTGGCTTTAGCTTCTTAGTGCTGTGCTTTAACCTGCTGCATCACCAGGGAGGGCCCTATTTTTTTTTTTTTTTAAGTCCATGAATACTCTACTCCCTCAGCTTCCTTACTCCTCACTGGAAGTCTTCAGTATGGCCACTCGCCCCACAGTTCCTCGGAATTTCCTCCTGCCACACTTTGGTGACTTTGCTCCCATGGACACCCTCCGATTCTTTGCTTGCTTGTCCTCTGCAGCACTTGACAGTTTGATGACTTCTTACTTGAAACTCATGGCTCTCTTGATTTCCTCAACACCATAGTCTTCTGGTTTCCTTCATACTTAATCTCATAACTCCTTCTCTAATTTCCTCCTTGTCTGCTCCTCAGGAGTAAGTAGTTTCCTGGGTTATATCTCAAGTATTCTTCTCATAAACACCCAGTTTCTAGGCCCACTTTTGTGTCCAGTTGTCAATACCACCATCTTTGTGTGGATGGCTTTCACATCTCACATTCTGCTCTAACCTCTCCCTGAAGCTACTGGAGCAATTCATAAACAACTTCCTGACAGCTTACCTCATACACCTAATACTGAGCTCATAAATTCTCCCTCCCCAAGACAAGCCTTCAAATATATTTTCCCTCTTGGTATTTCCTATATGAAGAACTGTTAACCACTGTGGCATGACCTTCTTTGCCCTATACACTATAGTTGACTCAGAGGTCCTTAAACCCCTGAATTGATATGTTCTTAAAAAGCCAACTGCTTCACTCAAGTTCAAAGAAAGTTCTAATATGTAAACAAACAAGTGAATACCTTAAGAATCATTACTATCACACTTTCTCTAATTTTACTGCTAAAATGTAGGGCCTTTTATTTCATACTTACTCTAATGCTCAAGCATCTTTCCTGTGCTTACCTCCAGATCACCACTTTCCTATCTACCCTTCACACTCTAACACATTGGCTTTTCAGATATACACACTTGCATCTCTCACAACCTTACTTAAAAGGCAACCGCTGACATGGCTGGAAATCCCAAGGAAATAGGCAAACATGACTACAACTTTACAAC